CACGGAGGCAAACCCCAGACGTGGAGGCAAACCCCACCCGAGGAAGGGAGGCCAGTCACGCTCGTCGCTGTGACTGGCGCGCACAGTTTGCTCGCCATCCTGCTTAGCAAAATGGCATAAACATCACCTCCGAGCACGGGAAGTTCCTCCTGGAAACTGACTGCGCTCGGATAGACTGGAAAGACTGACACCAGCCAGACGAGCATCCGCGCCACTGCTATGCCAGCGGGCAGACACCTGTGAAGCAAGCAGGCTGAGGGCTTAAAGGCAATGCCCGCGGGGTCCAGGAGGACTCAGAGCAGCAGACTCAACGTCCACTGGCCCATGGACAACAGCAAACAAGGGATGTGCTGCCAGCAGCCGTCGATTCTGCTTTCCCACAGAACTGGGCAGCACATAGGCTTGGGCCCCTCCAGTTCACAGGGAAATTTTACCAAGCGGGACAGTGCCATTACTTAAAGGTTGAGACTGAACTTAAATTGGAAGTATCACCTTATTTGCATTACCTGGAGTAATGGAGTACGAGGGGATCCAGGGCTCACCTTTCCCGTGGGCAATGTGGGCTCCACAGTGGGGAGCATGGGGCAGATACATCTGCCAGGAGTAACTAGTTGAAGTGTGGAATAGCTCAGCACAGATCTGAAGTCTTCAGATCTTCACATAGGGGCAACCCAGGGCCAAGGTAAGGAGCTTTCCCTGCACAACAGGGAGGGGAGGTGGAAGGACAAGGCACAGCCAGCCGCCACTGCCACCAGACCTGTGAGGGGTCAGCTCAGGGGCCTGAAGCCGGCCAGACTCCCGCTGGCTGCATCCCCTGCACCCTCTGTCCCAGCACTGCTATTTCTAGGAGTGCTCTGCCCCCATGTCCCTTCACCTGCCACGAGCACCAAGTTGCTCTGCTCAGCTCCATACAAAGGCAGCTGTTTGGCTCCTGGATCACAGCTGGCCCTGAAAGCAATACAGTAGCCTTTGTCCACTATTGTGCCTGAGCTTAGGAAGCTGGACAACAGCCAGTCTCACCAACCGACACCACAATGTCTGACACGGTCCTGAAAAGCCGTCCAAAAGGAAGCTTCTTTCTGTGGACCTTTCAATCTGAACCCAGCCCTTGCACTACTCGGAGAACACAATTTCCTGAGGTCGGTCAGGTGGAGAGCATAGGCTGCATCTCAAACCTGCCCCATTCACCTCCCCTTCCTGCCTCTGCTTCCCCATCTCTGGCATACCCTGTTCAACCACACACGGCTGAAGTTGTGAGCCATCATGCTCTCCCAATTCTGATTCCTCCTAAAGACTTTTCTTGGGCAAAGACGTAGAAGCTAATCCTTTTATTGAATGTGCCCAAGGCACCAATAGTTCATCATGTATCTCTCCTGCTCTATTACAAGTGAATCCATTTTGTAGATCCCAGTGCCATTGGGCCAGGAACTGCGCTTTGTCTTGCTCCTGGGGAACTGGGAAAGGCAGAAATAGGGAAAAGAGAGCATAAGCAGTACAAAACAGGAAGGATTTCCATATTCTCATTTTAATGATTAGACACAAAATTAACACCACTGGAGCAGTAAGGGTGAAGGACCATTTCCCAAACACACTGCAGATGTTCTGTGAAATAAATCAATCTTCTTTTGGAGAAAAACAAGGTATTTAAACTAGTTGCTTGTAATTCTTAAACATGAAGAGAGACACTGGATGAACCTCAACTTTTTCACATTTCACCGTTTTCTAGAAAAGGACCGAGGAACAGCTACTGTATGAAAGGATATAAACAGGACTGCCAGAGGCCTTTCTTAGCTTTCATACAAAGTTGCGGGCAATGGCCAATACTTTGGAGAACTCTCCTTCTCTCCGTCGCAGGATATAGGGTATTGGTGTTTTTATTCTAGTCCCTATTGGATTTCCGTTGTCTTCTATGAGTACCACATTGTTGGAATCAAATCTAGGTGTCATGGTGGGGCCAGGCATCTTGTGCCCTACAATTAAAGCCTTCTTCTTTTCTCCTTTGATAGCCAGAAGGATTGTATCTCCTACTTTGCCAACTCCCGTCTTGTTGTACACGTGGATACATTTTGGTGGCCGGTGGTACGGCGTGTTCCCCAAGGCGCTGTTGTCCACCACTCGCACGCGGGTGAGTTTCTGTATTGCTCGGCATGCTCCAGTGATACTAGCAAAAGACAGGAAAGAATGAGAGACAGATCTCCTCAATAATCCTTGGGGAGCGAGGGCAAACCCAGCACAGCATCTTGTCATTACACAAACCACTTGGAAGGCGCCAGCAACAAATACGTACCATATGGGTGGCGCATTTACTGCATTCAATGTGCTCTTTGAAAGCCAGATGCTACTCTGGGCTTTGCACAGTCTTCACTAAATGTCAAACATAAAACGACCGTTCTACTCTGAAACACGACTAAAGATGGCGTGAAGAGTGGCTTGCATTTACTGAGCTTTTCAGCAACTGCAGATGATTCCAGTCAACTTCAATTTACAAGCAAAAAAATGTGCTTGCTTCTGCCACAAACAGCCTACAGGAAGCTAAGACTCAAGTCAGGCTCTTTCAATCTTGCACACAGTCCCCAGCAATAAGGACTTTTCTGACCAATCTTCTTTTCAGTGAAGTCTATGAGAGTCTCCCATCTTATTCTGCTCTCAGCGAGACCTCTGAGGTCCTGCTGTGGCTGTGCTAAGCTGCCACCAACTAGAATCTAACAGATCATCACCTTCCCCATGTGGGAGGAACCCAGAGAGACGCAGTCTCTTCTGTATCTGTTTGCTCTGTGGGATTATCAGGAGTAAGAAACAACAGAAATAAACTGCACGATACTAAGTTGTTAGATCTGACTCTGAATATGCTTGGGAACAGCAGGA